TGTTGTACCCAGGTTGGAGAACATTCTTAAGTTTCCTGCTGCTGTATGCCCTTTGTTTGGAGTGGGGTGAGTGGGTGGGGTGCCAAGGTAACATCATGCTCTCTGTAGACTACTTAGCTGCTCTCTTTGGGTATTTTTCCTTTATATTCTGCAATATCACTCATTGCATTCAAGCGTCTTCCCTTTTCATACGTGTTAGTCTCTTCTGTAGGATGTATGCTAGTTCATGGAACGCTAATGAAAGCAAAGTGTTTGCAAGGCAAAAGGCTGTATGGAGTTACAGTGGTCTAAGGAAAACATATGGTGTGGAATGAGTAGAAGCATGAGGTTCTGACCAACAGAAAATCCATGCTGTAGTCTTTAGGAAACTTGTTTTACAATCTGATTGTTGATTGTTTTAACTTACTTTTATTATATATTTTAACTTGACTTTATTATATTTTTTATTTATTTATGTTCTAACTGCTGTGAGCCCCCCCCCCCCCGAGCCCATTTTGGGGATAGGGTGGGGTATAAGCCTAACAAATAAATAAATGTAAATAAGGTCGCTTGATTGTACTGGATCTTACCCATGTGCCTAGTTGCTTAGATGTGCTCATGCACAACCCACCTTTCTGGTGACTCGGGACACTGGGAGGGTTTTCAGGAGGAGAGAACTTGGGTGTTCCTGGAATGGCTGCTGCCTGCAGGAGGAGAGATAACCTAAGACCTCTGTATTTTGGGGAGGAGAGGTTTCCTGGAAGGCGCTGGAATTCTTCCCAGGCATGCAGCTCAGGGGACTTGAACCCTCTCAACCATTCGCTGCCTTTAGAGCAGATGATAGAGGCCGAGAGAGCAGGCGAGGAGCCCTGAGAGGACCATGGTAGCTCCACCATGGAACCATGGCAGGAAACGGTCATGTCTGTATCGACCACAGGAGGAAAATGTAGTGTGTTATCTGTTCTGTTCTAAATATAAAATCATGCACTAATAACATAAATTAAAGTGCCCTTTTCTAAAAGTGTCTTGTGTAATTTCTTGTATAACACTGAAGTAAGGTGTGTTTCAATAGAGAAGGAGGAAACATTATCCAAACACGTGCTTATTTGCAGTAGTCTGCATGATATCAAAATCCAGATGTTGTGTGTTGGTTTGAGCCTGCACTGTGTTGTTTTCATTCACATAAAAGTAATATTATTGAAAGGGAACAAAGGGGCTATTGTTCTAGCTGACAAATACATAATCCTAGCCTTTCACACTAAGTTTCTTTCACTATTATAGACGCGAGTTGATGTCTATTCAACACACTGTCCCGCTGGAACTTCTGTCCAGAACATGCTTCATTGGACTCAGGTGAGGCCTTTTGACATCCTTTGAAATAATCAAACCTGACTCATGTTGTATGCTGCATTGCTTTAATATTTAGAATGGGTGGCTTTGAAAGCATGGGGTGCACAGAATGAAAATAACTACTACAGTGGTGGAATAAAAGGCAACTCTTAGTAGTTTCTCATGTTAGTATTGTGTGTCTTTTCTTATATTCAAAACCCAGTAATTAATGAAGGGTATAATACCAAATAAGCAGGTTAACAGTTACTGCTTCCCTTGTGCACAACGTAGAGAAGCAATGCTTCACAAATCTTCAAAGGCCCCTAGTACAGGATATAAAGATTTGACTTTGCTAGGTGTGTGATATTCTGGGAGGGGGAGAGATTTGGGGTTTGCTATTTTTTTTTTTTTTTTAACAGAAACTCTTTTTAAATACTCCTGGAAGCTGTCTTGAACTATGAGGAAAAGTGGGATATAAACATTTCAGTAAATAAATATTCTGTGAAAGGCTACTTGAAGGCTTTGTATCTGAAACTCTCAGTAACCAAGGAAGCTTTCAGTCAAAAATAAAAGCAAGAAAAACGAAACAGCCGTTATAAAAGTTTGTTGGAAATCCACAGTAGTAGAATGCATGAAAAAAAAAATAGGTGAATTACTGGAGTAGAGGACAAAAACAAAGGACTGATGGGGGGGGGTCAGCTAAAAGTTGGGCATCCTGTAAATAGCTAATGACCCCAATAGCACTGCTTGCTGAGCACACAGTCTTTGTTTAGATGGTAGTGAAAGATCTGTAAAGTTCTGGTGAGCAAGCAGAGGGGCTAGTTAGATTGGATCCCTTCAAACTTTGATTCTGTGACTCCGTCTACAATTAAAAGCAAATAAATCAATGAATTGGAATAGTGGGGGGGGAATTGACTGGTGAGAACCAAGCGACAAGTTGTGGGGTGCAGTGAATGTGAAAAGGTCTCAGAACAGCCCTTGAGAAGAGGAGGGATTGGGCCTCTGGTGCTAGGAGACGAGGGTAATTCTCACCTTCCTCAGAGCTTTCTCATTAACATCAGGTCCCATTGTCTGCCCACCCACGGCCATCTTTTATTTTAATAACAACTAAAGAAGAAAGCAATTTACCCATGGCTCAGATCCAATTTCAGGACTCTGAGTCCTTTAAGGAGCTCCAGTTGTAAACAGTTTTAAATATGTAACTTGGTCGTCAGTTTGCTTTTTGACATCTGAGACTGGTAAAAGCCCCCCCACCGCCGCCGGCGGTGGTTGTGTTATCTGACACAGTATTTATTTATATATTTATTTATACTTTCAATTTGTACCCCGCTCACCCCCGAAGGGCTCTGAGCGGCTTACACGGTGCATGGTGCAGAGACCTATGCAGAAACCCTAACTATGGCCACAGTACGTCTGGGGTGGGGGGAGCCCTACCAGGTACCCTCCCGGCTCCGATCGTTCCTTTATCTGGCGAGTGGGCGACTTCTTCCAGTTCTCTCCGGTGCGGCTTCCGTGGCCTCCCTTGTGTTCCTTCTGATGCCAGTAAATGTTGCTGTTTGAGCTTACATTTTAATTCCACCTGATACACTGTACTAATCCTTCATAAATACTTCGCATAACATTTAACTAGAGGCTACACTCCCTTAGATATTCCCACAGAGGTAGTTGTGGCACACCCAGAAGCCAGAGAGTTCATGGACTCATACGGTAGAAAGAGCCTGTGTGTTAAAGCTTCTCTGCGTGTTAAGTGTCTGATATGAAACTAGAATATCTGTCATGACGTTATTGTACACTGACCAGCATAGAATAGTTTTGCACATCTAAAATGGAAATGTGGTGTGGTGAGAGGACATCTTTCTTTTTCACAAGCTGCCCCTGTGAAAGGGTGGGTTATGCTGCAAAGCCACAGAATTAGCACTCCAAGAATCTTGCACAAAGCTGTCCAGGGGCGAATTTAGTTGCCTAGTTTAGCTTTTATAAATCCTGCTACCTTGGGCATTGGGAGAAAAACACACTTATGAGGGAGAGGTTCTGACATGCGGTAGTTAGGAGCAGGACTTTTTTTCTGGGGTAGTGTGCCAGAACGGAGTTCCAGAACCTCTTCCAACAACATTCTTTTTAAAATGTTTTAAAATTCATGAGTTTTCAGTATACAGATTGAAAACGTCATTTCCTTCTTGAGAGTTCCAGCGCCGCCTCTTTTCTTTTCTTTTTTTTAAAGCCCTGGTTAGGAGGGAAGGGGAATGCAGAGGTCTGGACAGTAACTGCAAGAGTGGACATCGGTTGTGGGCTCCAGTGCCCCACCCCCGTTGCTTCCATTTCTTTCTGCCCAGTTTAGGTCTTTAAAATATTGGCCTGGTTAGTAGCCATGTTGCATAGCCAACTGCCATATGTATATCCAGATGCTTGTAATGCCTGCTTATACTGGTGATATGATCCACTTATAATGATGTATACTAATTTGCATTTTTTTTAAAGTTTGTAAAGTCTGGGCAGTTCAGAGCTTTTGACTGGGGAAGCAAGGCAAGAAACATGGCCCACTATAACCAGGTAAGAATTCTGTACTGTTGTTGAAGGTCGTCCCTGATTGTAATTGTAATTTGGTCAGATCAACTTGAACATGAGTAGAAACTAGTCATGCCTTGCAGTAGGTTGCATGGGCAAGGGCCAAAGTACAAAGCCTCTATGCTGGCTAAGAGGAAATTATACAACTTGGTATGGAAGCCATCTCAGTGAGGTCTCTGAAGAAGGGGCATATGCCTTTTCTAAATAATCTTCCATTTTGATTATCTGGCCAATCAGCATACATAGAAAGTGTGCTGGCCCTGCTGGCCAGCTTGCGAGTGGTGTCTGTCATGTTCATGAGTTAACAATTGCATGGGGGGGGATGCAACTATGGCAGATAAGTAGTGCTTCTATTTTCATTGAAAATATAGGCTAAGTACGGTCTGGGCAAAAGCAGCTGCAATCAGCCTTGCATGCCCCCTCCCTATTTTAATTGTTATAGTCAGCTAAGCATTTATCTGCTTGACCTGTATAATGTGGCAAGGGGACGGAGGTATGTTTTTTTGCCATAGTTTTGTATTATGGGTGCTATCTGGTGGTGCCTTGGCATTCACAGACACTGCATAGCAGTGCTATTGGAAATGGTGACTCTCTTTACTAGCTTAATAGAATCCTCATCACAGCCTAGTGGGAGCACTCATCTAGAATTCTGTGTGTGTATGGGAGGTGGGTGGAAAAAGCCGCTTGGAGGGGTTGGAGAAATGATTCAAGTAGTTTCTACTTACCCCCACCATCAAGGGAGGGAACTGGGGGACAAAATTCCAGGGAGGGAGAGCTTTGAGTGCCTGGGGAGTTGGACATGGAACTGCTAAGCTTTTGGCTATAAATTCAGCCAATGTCCTCCCTTCACCTGCATCTTCCACCTCTTCTGCCCACTGCTCTGCATGTTTTCCCATGTGAAAAATAGAGGAGTTGTGGCCACTTTGGGCCATGTTTGTTAAAATCCACCACCCCCTGAGCTCAGCAGTGATGGCAACCCAAAGTGCACCGAATTTACATCCAGCTTGGTAATTACTGGCCTATTCCTTTGATTTGGTGAAAGGGGAGGGGTGGCCAAAGGAAATCGTTGTCTGGGGCTCCGTGGTGACTCATAGCAGCCAAGTTCCCCTCTTGCCACTTCTCCACACAGTTGTGCTCCGCTGAGGCTGATTTTTCTTTACCAAAAAGAAAGGTCTATTGAGGAATACCACATGTCCCTGTGTGTGTGAAAAATGATTGGGATTTCTCTCAAATATCTTGTTTGTTTCTGTGTGAAACATTACTTGGACTTCTTATCTCCCCCCCCCCTGAGATGACATGCTTTCTTGCTGTTCCATGTAGCTTTAATCAGGAAGCCTTTACTGTGTGGTCGACTACAAATAATTATTTTTCTCCTTTTTTTTTTTAAAGTCAACACCACCTTACTACAAAACGAGAGAGATGCACGTGCCAATGGCTTTCTGGTCCGGCGGCCAGGACTGGCTTGCAGACCCGTTGGATGTCGCCCTCTTGCTGCCAGAGATCCCAAACTTAGTTTACCACAAGAATATTCCTGAATGGGAACATCTGGATTTCATCTGGGGCCTCGATGCTCCACAGCGCATGTACAAAGAGATCATTGAGCTGATGCAGAAAAACCCATAGATCTGTTTGTGGCACTTGTAGCTGTCATGTCGACATGCTTCTTCAAGAGATCAGTGTGTGACACTTTGCTGTTGCTGTAATTCACCATGGAAAGATATTTTTTTTAAAAAAAGCATTACAGTATTAATCTTTCTGTCTCCGTGCAGTGCAGCAGTATTGTAGGAGACTGAATTGTTGCACTGCTCATAAGTATTTTAAATCCACACAGCCTTAACACTGAACGTGTTAAAACAACTGGGCTGTCTCTGGTTAGAGAAAATAAAATGCCTTGCTACAAATTGCCCAAAGCAATGGACACTTGGAATTAAAACTGATGTCTTAAGAGTATCTGTTGACAGGAGGTGCTGTGTTTAAAGCTGCAGCAGAACTGGTAATAACGATATGCAATTTTTAGAAAAATGACCACCTTGTGAGCATGTCTTCCCATGTGTGTCTAGTGCCCACAGCACCAGTGGAAGTTTACGTAGTTCAGATCCCTTGAGCTGACTCAATACATGCTCCACAAGAAAAACAGCACTTCACTGGTTAATGGTGCAGCAGGCAACTAGCAAAACCTCCCTAGAATCCCTTAGGATTCTGAGACTTGGAACATTTAATCTCTTTATGCTGAAGCACATCCTTTGCACTTTTCTAGAATTGCTTGGGATAAAAGGGCTTTGATAGCTGATTTCTTACTATGAGGTAATGTTCAATACTCACTTGACTGTAATCTTGATCTTAAATGCATCCTGTTGATTCATTTTTTAATTGAAATTTGTTTTCAGTTAATGTTTTCAATTAATTAATGCATATCATGAGAATGCATTAGTATACTGGTATAAGTAGTAGTCTGGTAGGTGAAGTCTTTCAGCCCAGACCTCTAAACATCTCCTATGAGGCTTTTGTTCTTGGGAGTGCAGCCTTAATGTCTTTGGCCCTGGGCACACCTTGTATTATTTCCTATATCACAGGGGTATTATACACTTACAATGCAATCCTAAGAACCCTTTCCTGGGAGTAAGCACCACTTAATAGACCTGGGCTGGATTTTGAGTAGACCTTTTTTAAGGACTGCTGTCATCAGTGTTGGAAAAACTCAGAAGGGGGGGCTACATGACGTGTGTGAACTTTTCAGCTGCTGTTCTTAAAAAAGTGCATCTGTTTCTCTTCACTGAGAAAATGAGCAGCAGAGTACAGATTGGCTACCAAAGAAGCTCCGTTGTCACTGCTGTGCCTTTACTCTTGCTTTTTAAAGTTGAAAACTAAAATTCTTCACTGAATTTCGCACTGAATTGGAAATTAACAGCTGGAAACAGAAACGTAACATGTCGATGTCTGCATTAATTGATTTTTTTAAAAAATATGTACTGTGTTATATGTGTTCTATAAATCAGGTCTCTGTCTGAAAGTGGAAAGTGTTTTTAACCAATTACCATAAATATGCAGCTTTTAAAGTTTATGTCAGTAACCTGTTTTGAATTTCCATTATAAGCCATATTGTGCTGTGGGTTTAAGTGTTAAAACAGTTGGAAGAAAGTACACTCTGAAATGAGAGCAGAGGTTTACTTTGAATAAAAATCAAATTGGAAACCAGGTGTCATCTATAGTATTTCCCCCCCAGCAGATTCTAGTATGATTCTCTTCAGAGAGGCTCTGTCTTTAGAGACCTCAGTTTGTAGTAACATAAACATTACATAGGAAGGTATCCACAATATCTAGACAAGATGAGTGGTGGTGAAATCTTGTGTGTGGGGTGTAATTAATGAAATTTCAGATCAGTGGGAGTATTTATATATGGTTAACAAAATTGGAGGCCAGTGCATCTTTTGGAATAAGAACATAAGAGAAGCCAATGTTGGATTAGGCCAATGGCCCATTCAGTCCAACACTGTGTCACACAGTGGCCAAAAATACGAGTTGCCATCAGGAGGTCCAGCAGTGGGGCCAGGACACTAGAAGCCCTCCCACTGTTGACACACACACACACACACACCCAAGCACCAAGAATACAGTGCATCACTTGCCTCAGTCTGAGAGTTCCTGTCTATACCTTGTGGTTCCATATGCTTATCTAATTCCCTCTTGAAGCCGTCCATGCTTGTAGCCACCACCACCTCCTGTGGCAGTGAATTCCATGTGTTAATCACTCTTTGGGTGAAGAAGTACTTCCTTTTATCTGTTCTAACCCAACTGCTCAGCAATTTCATTGAGTGCCCATAAGTTCTTAAATTGTGAGAAAGGGAGAAAAGTACTTCTTTCTCTCCCTGCTCTATCACATGCATAATCTTATAAACTTCGATCATGTCACCCCTCAGCCATCGTTTTTCCTAGCTAAAGAGCCCCAAGCGTTTTAATCTTTCTTCATAGGGAAAGTGTTCCAACCCTTTTATCATTCTAGTTGCCCTTTTCTACACTTTTTCCAATGCTATAATATTCTTTTTGAGAGGTGGTAACCAGAACTGTACACAGTACTCCAAATGAGGTTGCACCATTGATTTATACAGGGGCTTTATGATACTGGCTGATTTGTTTTCAATTCCCTTCCTAATAATCCCCAGCATAGCATTGGCCTTTTTTATTGCAGTCGCACACTGTCTCGACATTATCATTGAGTTATCTACTATGACTCCAAGATCTCTCTCTTGTTCCGTCTCTGCCAGTTCAGACCCCATCAATGTGTGTTTATAGTTAGGATTTCTGGCTCCAATGTGCATCACTTTGCACTTGGCCACATTGAACCCCATTTGCCACGTTGATGCCCACTCGCCCATCCTCGACAGATCCCTTTGGAGTGTCTCACAATCCTCCCTGGTTCTCACCACCCTGAACAACTTCGTGTTATCTGCAAATTTAGCCACTTCATTGCTTACTCCCAACTCCAAATCATTAATAAAGTTAAAAAGCATCGGACCGAGTACTAATCCCTGTGGTACTCCACTGCTTACCACCCTCCACTGAGAAAATTGCTCATTTATACCCTGTTTCCTATTAATTAGCCAGTTTTTGATCCACAAGAGGACTTCATCATCAGCTACCTTTATTGGCATCACAACAAAACATACCTCATCAAGAGATAAAAGTACAACCTTCATTGTTGGAGTTGAAACATTCCTCTCCTTTTAATGGCACAACATAGAAATTTATCCACCAAATCAGTGATCTCAGAGTTATGGGAAGATAGTAGAAAAACCATCTTGCAAACATCAGATTGACCCTCACGAATTTGTAGCAGAGATTCTAGAAATATGGCACAAATATCACAGTAAAATATACAATGCAGGAAAACATGTTCAGTACTTTCTATCTCCCCCAGACTGCAAGAACAAAGCTTAGCAGCGTATGGAATTTTTTTAAACCTCCCATACAGTACAGCTCTTTAAACGCTCACCTCTTCAGTCTCTGGTTGGGCTCTGAGAAAGGGGAGGGAGTCATCCATTAACAACGCTGCTCCACAGTTCAGCTCTTAGGAAGCCCGACAAAGCTTATTGAAGATGATTTTAAAAATAACAAATCACAGCATGGTGGCAGTGAAAAAGCAAACGTGCCAGCATCAACAAGGTTTCACGCTCTCAGACCCACATGATCTGAATGGTGAGTGAGTGAGTTCTAAAGAAAGGCGATATTAAACAACTTGCCAGCCAATCAAGGCCAAATAACTAATTATTGCTTGCAGGTGTAAAGCTCTTAAAGAAAAAAAAAATAACCCAAGGTCTTCAACTGAGACAGTTCACAGGGCTCAAGCTGAAACAACTTACAGCCTCTATTTCAAATTAATCATCTGAAAGGTAAAAAAATCAAAACACATACTGCTTCCGTACAGTGGGCCAGTTCTGGCCCAGGGGCCTTAGGTTTGATCCCCTCGCTTAAATCATTCCTTACGGATGTGTCACACAGGGTTGCTGTTTTACCCACTGCTGTCAGTGTGGGAATACGGACAGCTTAGATGTTCTACTGGAGAAGCAAGTTAATGCATCCACAAAGGGGCATTCTGAGAGCCTCCTTTAGCCCAGAAAATGGCCTCCAACCTTGACTCTGCTTATCTGGACACATGGATCCATGCTGTGGTTACCTCAGGGCTCCCAAGTACTTACCTTAATTCGGCGGGGGATGTATAGTTCTTCGTGGGACCATTCCCGTGGGGAAAACACAGGCGCTGCACTATTCCGTCGCCCAGATGTGACGTAGGCGGGCGGCGCTCTAGCAATGGGGCTGGAAACTCGATGGTACCATTGAGTTTCCAGTCCCATTACCAGAGCGTCGCCCACCTACGTGTCTACATCACATCTGGGCAGTGGAATAGTGCAGCGCCTGTGTTCCAAGAAAGAATCTTCTGGCGGGGAAGCATGTGTCCCCCGCCGGATCGTAGGTAGGTACTTGGGAACCCTAGGTTACCTTGAGGCTAGACTATTGTAATTCACTCGGCATGGGTCTGCCTTTAACAACAACTTGTTAACTCCAGTTGGTGCAGGATGCTGCAGCCCAGTTACTATCAGGCGGAGCACACATGTGTTGCAGGTTCTGCAGAGACTCAGTGGATTAAACGTTATTTACCCAATTATTTCAAAGTTCCAGACTGGTTATCACCTACAAAGTCCTTAATGGCCTTGGGCCCACCTATCTGCAGGACTGTCTGTCCTGCTGTAGCCTCCTGTGACAGCTTCACTCATCTGAGCAAAGCCTTCTAAAGGTACCAGCTTGCAAATGGGTAAGATTGGCAATTGCCCCATTCACATCCATTCCCAGTGGTGGCCTACCTGAGGAGGTCAGGAAGACTCCCACTCTTATTATTCTGCAGAACTTGCAAAACAGAAATGTTCAGGAGAGCATCTTTTTAAAAAGGGCTTAGATCAGTAGTAGAATGGAACAGTCGAGATTGGCACCTTTGTAATGAAATAGGATTGTAGTCCACTCCTTGGATTAGTGTAGGTATCACCTGCATTGATTTATGCCTTGTAATCTGCTTTCTGTATTGTTTAGAGTTTACCTTGCCTTAGTTTGTTATCAAATGGTTCTCTAATTCTGTAATCCTGGTCCTTTTGCGTTGCTCATTAGTTTTGTGCTGCCTGATTGTACTGCTTTATATCCTGTAATAATCCCCCTTGAGTCTCACTGAGAAAGATAGACTAGAAAGTAAATAAATAAAGGGAGCGAGAATAACCTTCACAGTAATGGGGGGGGGGCTACCCCAGACAGTCCTGTTAAACCGACATGCATTTTTCTGCCATTATTTTGGTTGAAAACACAATGTGGAAAATATTAAACCCACAGTGTGGACACCATTAAACATGCTTTCTGATGAAATTGTTTGGAAAGTGCTGCCACTTGCTACAGCTTTGCATGCTTTTCAGAAACATGCAGCCCTTGAATCAAGTTTGCTATTTCATCACAGGATGGCACTACAGCACTTCTAAGTACTGCTCTGAAATGCGGTTTGGCCAGATATGTGTTGACTTTGTCACTTCTAAGGTCTGTTTTCTCAAGTTGGTTTACCTGCAACCTGCACAGCAAGGGCAACATCCTTTAACAATTTTTGGGGGAAAATGACCAAGTCAGCACACTTTAAAAATAACCAAGACAAAACAGATCTGTTTGCACAGTGGACAGGACCCTGTGCTTCCTGCTTCAAGGTGCAAAACCCATGCAACACGCATCCGCTCTAGCAGTGCATCTGCCATGACACTCATTTTTCCTATGATGTTGAAAAGCACGGTTGTGTCTCTGGATCCCGGGTGGCTTTCACATGCTGTGCAAGGTTTGATAAGCCTTGAATGAGTGAAGCAAACCTCCCCCCACCTCCCCCAGAAAGCACTGCACTTGTGATGGAGGCAGGAGATATCAGAGTTCACTATGGTAACATTATTTTTAATATTTATGTTCAATATGGTAACATGTGTTTCCCATCCCTTGCTTTGCTACCCACGGTCTTTGCCTTGAGACAGATGAGAGCATAATTCCTGTTCCCTTCCAGTCATGTGATTGTGATGTCATGGGACTTTGTGCATTGTATCTTGAAGACCAGGCATGAAAATCAGGAGGCAAAAGTTTTAGACAGATGTAAAGTTTACTGAAGGGTTCTTCCTTTGCACAGAGTTACGACGACAACTAAACTTGCATGCAGGATTCTTTGTTGTTCTAGTCCACTGTAAATTCAGGAGTGGGTTAATATGTGATTAATCCAGGACAGTCTAAAATACTGGCCTGGCTCAAGGATGGCTGTTATTGCAAACACCACAATGTGCTTTTGGCTTGAGTGGGTCCCATGCTGCCTCCTGGGGGTTAAAGGCAGGCCCCAGGTTTGGAAAAGATGAAGGCCACTGGTAAGTGGTGCAAATTTGGTTTTCCTGTTTGCATTTGCTGCTACAAGTGAAAACAAGGTGCCAGATGGCAGGCCCAGCACACTTTTGCTGCCGAATGCATCTTCTGTCGAGAGTTACAAGCTCTTTTATGAACTTTTTGGTATGACACCAAACTTGCTATTAAACTCTGCTAAATTGTTTTAAAAGGAAATCTGGCTATACACCATACTTCCAAAGCCAGCGCAGGACATATCAGGTCAGGTGCAGAGTACTGGGCAGGTGGAAAGGGCTTAT